AATGTCCACACAGATCATGGGTGACATAGACTTGTGGGCAGAGTATTGTACAGAATCTTAAAGCGAAGTAAGAAGAGATGGCTGAAATATTCAAACATGCATGGATGGCAACTAAAACTTCTTCAGGCAATGTTATAACATGATAGAACGCTCCAAGAAGATGGTTTTGAGTAAATCTCACTCTTTAAGAACTTCATAGAGTGTAGTAATTCATTTGACTGACATTTGTTTATTCAAAGTAATGAAAGTAAAGTAAAGTGCTCATATTCACAACAGTGTAACAACAGAAGGGCATCCATTCTAGAGTATATCATTTATCACTGTCAAAGTAGTTGTTATACACCTTTATTTAACTTTTACTCAGTTTTCCCATCTGAAATATTAGAACAGGATTGCGTACTTGTAAATTCATTTGGCAAAGAAGTATACTTGTTTTGTTTGTAAAATGTAAATATCATTGTTCTGAGCGCATAGAGTGTTTTTAATGGTAAGGTCTGGCAACTCAAAGTGATTTAGGCAAAAACTAATCAAATAAAAAATAATAATAATTAAAAAATAAAGAGGGATGCTTAGCTAAACAAAAGTTAATGGGAAAGTCTTATAAAAGCTGCAGTATTTAACACCAAGTCACACCAACCAAAGAATGTGTAATGAAGAAGAAAAAACATATATAAGTTGCAGCGGACTATAAGTCGCACTTTTGGGGGGAAATTTATTTTATAAAATCAGGGACCAGGAACCAACATTTTATCTTGAAAGTCAAGTTACAGTAATAACAATAGAACAGAGAACAACAGACTGTTAACGTCACATATGAACAGTTCTTCAGATAAACTATAACATAAACAACAGAACAGAACAAGTTTAACAAACTCTCCATCTCACTCCAAATCATTAAATCCATTGAATTCTTCATCTTTGGTGTCACTTCTGAGCAACTCCGCGACCTCTGAAGGTAAATGCAGCGCTGCTTCCTCTTCTGTGTAGTTGTTGTCAGATTCAGCATCAGTTCCAGTTAGAATTATTTCGGCCTTTCTGAATCCCGACAGGATGGTTTCGGTGTCACTGAAGTCACTTAAATTTTAAATTTACAGTGATACGGAATGGTGCGATCGACTGACATGATACAGACAGGACAGAGGCTCTTTCTGCAGGAGACATGCGCAGTAGAGTGAAGTGACAGTGGTCAGTGTGAAAATTTTAATATATAAAACGCAGGAAACACCCAAACCATGAAAAAAAAGTTCAAGTCCGAAAAATACAGTATGGCTTTTTAAAATCTTTGGAGCAGTATTTTATTTAGTAGATTCAGGCTTGCATCTCCACAAACCTGACTCAAACATAGCCTCTTCCTGCTTGTCTCCGTGGAAATTGTATGGCATAAAAAAGAAAAATACATGTTTGCATAGTATTTATTTTAATGTATTATTATTTTTTCTTTTTTTTTTTATTACTTTTTGTGCACATAAATCAGATGTCACAGAAAAGAAGAAGAAAAAAAAAAATATATATATATATATATATATATATATATATATATATATATATATATATATATATATATATATATATAATTAACAGTAATATTTTTTATTTTTTTATTTTTTTTCAACAGAATAAATAATTTTTTTATGACTACATGTTTAGTTATATGATATACAGTTAGTTAAAGAAAAGTGGATTATGTAATGAAAAGTACAAGGCTTTTTTTTTTATCTTTGGATCAGTATACAGCAGATTCTTACCATACTTACTCCATTTAATCAGTGCATTTCGGAAAGTGCAAGTGCAAGTCAAACCTAGTGTTTTCTGAATAAGCTAATACACAGTTGCCGGTACAATTCCCATGTTTTCCTTACTGTAACTGCTCTTTTAAAAAACACCTTTGTGCTATTACCGCTGTTACTAACATGTTATTTGAAGCAGAGGATCAGCCTTTCTTCTCTGGCCTTTGTCTCTGCTCGTGCACACTGCGAGGCGTGGTTTTGACTGACAGCTGGGCATACCTGAGATAACTGCTGGCTACAGACAGGCTGGGGCACGGCACACTACACCGACTCACTGTAGGACGCAGTATAATGAAGGATTTACGCTATATAAACTACTTTTGCTATGGGTAACCTAGCATTTACAATCAGAACTCATTCATAAGTACGGGCGGAGTGCTTGTGTAGCTTTAGTGAGAATTTTTAAAGCTCCACCGTGTCACTTTTTTGCATGAACTTTGACTACAATGAAAGTACATATGTAGTGGACCAAACAGATAGGCAAAGACAAGGTATAAAAAGAAGTTTAAGTTTAATAAAGTCAAAAAAGATATAATTTAACAAAGGCTCAAATTAGGCAAATTATTAACAAAAAAGCCGGGCCCAATTGGGGGTAACTCAAAATCAAAACTGAACAGAACAAAACTAACCCAACCAGACAAAGGAACAGGGGTGTTTAAATACTTGAGGACCAACTAAAACTAAACACAAGAGGGAGGAATTATACTAAATAATTAAATAAACTACTAACAAAAAGGCAAATAATTATAATACAGAAAATAATAAGTGACAATAAAGTGACCTCAACACAAACAAAACAAACTAAATTAATAAAACTAACTAAAGAGTGCTCCCCCCCTTTTTGAATCATGGTGGTCTCTTCCAAGGGTTCTCAAAAACAAAAAGAAGTGTAAATAAATTAGACTTATATTAACTAAAATGTGTGCACTCAAATTAGAATATAAGTCTAAATGAAAGGAATTAAATGATGTGTAATGTAATGTAATTAATGTAAGTGAAATTAAATAATACTGACACTATGGAGTGGTGGCAGAGGTGTCCACCACAATATATTTGCATTATGGATGTTTTGATTGCACTGAAAAAAAATGTAGAAAGCACGTGTCCTTACTGTTAAATCAGAAAAATGTGCAGTAAGGTTCACAAAGACTATGCTCAAAGGTCTTACATTATCCAAAATGGACTTTTCTGAGCTTTAAGCCATGTTAGAATGTTGTCATCTCCTCAAAAACAGACCTGGAGTTGTGTTTTTTTCATTCACATGTTTGAGAAATCTATAATCTACATAATAATTTATAGTTTTCAAGTTAACAGCGACCTTTTACCTTTAGTTCAGGAGAGATTGGCAATTGCAGGGCTGAAATTGTCCAAATGATTCCAGTAAAGGTGTATGGAGATTAAAAACACAATGGAGCACTTCTTGTATTGCCACATCACAATGTTGAACTGTTTTTACAGTTTGAGAGAAGGACTTAACCTAAATGTGCAGGATTTGTGTCAGTGAAACAAAACACAACTATGTTTTTGATGAGTTAATAGCATTTTAACATGGCTTAAAAGCATTGTATAGCACAAACAAAGTAATGGCAGAATAAGTTAAAGCTCATGAAGATTAAAATTGACAAGAATCCATTTTGTATAATACTGGCCCTTTTATTACACTTCTGTGGGGTATTAACTGGTAACACATAACATATTTATATCACCATGTAAGATTTGATTGTTTTGAAAATGCTGTATTCACTGAAAACAGACTATTAACATGTTTAATTTTCATTTTTGATGCTGTGGGTTTCCCCTCAGTCCCCTTCAGAGCACTATCACATTCAAATATTACATCTCACTAATGAAACTACTGCACATCGCATTAGGTGAAGTTGTAGCGTATTGTTTTGTATCCTGTAATATATTTGCCAGCAATAAAAGTATATATTTTCATTATATACTTATTATATATTATTATATCATCATTTGTGGCCATACCGGCTTGTCAAAGCCTGATCCCTAAGCAAGACCGGGCCTGGTTAGTACTTGGATGGGAGACACTGGGAATTCCAGGTGCCACAGTGACAGGGCGCCAGTGGCCAAAACTGTTGTTGTGTCCTTAGGCAAGACACTTCGCCCACATTGCCTAGTATGAAAGTGGTGTGTGCGTGAGTGATGGTGGTGGTCGGAGGGGCCGATGGCGCAGATTAGCAGCCTCATTTCCATCAGTCTGCCCCAGGGCAGCTGTGGCTACAGTAGTAGCTTACCACCATTGAGTGAATGAGTATCTTTTGGGTATCTTGAAAGGCGCTATATAAATGCAATGATTATTATTATTTTTTTTTATTAATTAATTAGGGATGTTTTTATTGCACTGGAAAAAATGTAGAAAACACATGTCTTTACTGTGAGCAGGCTTGCATCTCCACAAACCTGAATCATGTGCGGCTCTAAAGGTGCATTGTGTAACTTTTCTGGTGGAGGGTCCATCTCCATAAAGATGTTATTGCTTTGTCTGGAATGTTTTACAGTGTGGCATTAAACCTTTCTATCTTCATGGAGACCAAACCAGGCCAAGTCACAGGTTAGATCAGTGGAGAGGAGACCCCACTCACAGTCAGAATGCACAGAATGCAGAAAATGCTCAGCTTGTGATGTCATGTGGTAATACAGGAAGTACTCCTCTGTGTTAAATACTATGCAGTCTGTATGATGCTCTAACATAATTTTGTTGTTATTTTATATGACAATGACAATAAAGAAATTGAACTTGAACTTTATGAGCCTCATACACCTTCACTAGAATCATCTGGATCATTGCAGTCCTGGAATTTCCAGTCTCTACTAAACAAAAGGTAAAAAGTAGCTGTTAAATTGAAAATTACCACCTCATGACATCACAAGGTGGAACAGACCATTTTACGCTTTGGAGATGTAGACAGACTAATAATGCAGAGTTACTCAAACATGTGTGAATGAAACAAAACACAACTCCAGGTATATTTTTGAGGAGACAACCACATTATAATATATATAATTAATAGAGGACCTTTAGTGACATCATGCAGTGGAATCAAACGTTTCCGAGGCCTAGAGATGATAATAGTTAATAACTGTGGGATTACTCAATAAATAAATGAAACAAAATAAAAGTGAAATTACAATATGATTAAAAACTGAAAAAAAATCATTCTTAAAAATCTGTTTGGCATAATATGGGAACTTAGAACTTTTAAAAGACTTTTTCCTCTGGTCTGCTGCTGAATTTATAGTGGCAGAATAGTAAATTAAAGGGGAAAACGGTCCGGCATATTCCAGCTATGGCCATGCGCTTTGGTCTGTAACCCAAGAATAAACAAACAGTGCCACTCCACTGTCATCACGGGTTACTGGGTGGAGCTGTGTTATTAAATCCCATGGCAACGAGCGTAAAAAAAAAAGAGAACAGAAAGAAAGTGAAAGAGTGAAGAAGAGAGAGAGGGACAGGGAGAGAGAAAGAGAGAGGATATTTATACCTAGTTTCAAAGAGGAGAGGAAGAAAGGAGTAGACAAGGAAGCAGCTACGGTAAGAGTTGTTTTTTTGTATTTTAGGCTGTGGTAGCGGTGAATAAAATGACTCAAATGTTCTATATTACACAAAATTGACTCCTGTGAGCTTTTAGTCATGTTGGAATGTTGTTTCCTCCTCAAAAACATACCTGCAGCTGTGTTTATTTCATTCACGCGTGTTTTAGTAATCTTATCTGCATGTTCAAAGGTCAAAATGCTCTGGTCCACCTTGTGATATCATCATGTGGTAGTTTTAAAGTTAATAGTTAGGTCTTTGCCTAAATTTAACTGACTGACTCTGAAATACTAATCAAAAATACTTTCATTTGACCTTTTATTCAGCTGAGATTTTCAGGGCTGGAAATGATTCAAATGATTCTAGTCAAGGTGTGTGGAGTTTGAAAACACAATGGAGCACGTCCTGTATTAACATTTAATAAAAACATCACAATGTGGAGATGCGTTTTCAGTTTGAGAGAAGCTTAAATATGCAGGATTTCTGTGTTAAACATGTGTGAATAAAACCAAACAGACCAACTAAACGTGTGTGTACATGTGGGTCCAAATATAGAACAAATATTATGCCCTTTAGCATTTCATGTTTTGGAACCTAAAACAATGTGTGTCATCAGGCATCAGACACCGTGTTCTCAAGTGTACTCAGATACTCTGATATAATATTACTCTCGAACAACACCTGGGGTTTGCACTTTTATGGGGCTTTGAAAACACAGACTTACTAAACAAGGGTTCATCAAACAAATGTGTAAAATAGAACTCCAGGTCTGTTTCTGATGACACAACAAAGTTATGTTTATTTATTTATTTATTTATTTATTTATTTATTTATTTATTTATTTAGCACATATAACATGACAATAAAAAGAAACACACTAGATAAAAAGTAGGTGCCGGAAAAGGCAAAAAACCCAATAGGGCTTCTATTAAAACCTCCACCTTATGAATACATTAAAAATGTAACATTATCATTGTGCATAACAATTTATATATATAGAAAAATGACATTTAAACACCATGGATTAAATTCTTTTGATTCAAACATGGATTAAAACACATTGAAACATCCACAGATGAAAAATATATCAAACATTAGCATGAAATATCAAACATTTCCTCAAACTCTTTTTAAACAGCGCCTCTGAACTGCCCTCACTAACCAGATGTGAAAACATGGTTAAAGGTTTAAAAAAGTGTATTTTAAATTCTGTAAGATAATTTAAGTTCATTGAAATCATGGATTGAATGGTCAGTATGCTCTGCTAAGCAAATGTGTGTTTGTTTACAGTTCACAGGAGCAGATGTAAACAGCCATGACCACTCTGCAATCACTCATCCAAGTGGGAGACGGGAGGACACTATCCAGGTGAGCTACAAATGACCAGTTAGCTTTGGAATTATTATGCAATTACTGCCAATACAGAGTTTGGTACTTTAATGAAAGTATGATTTGTGTATACAAATCTTGTGTTATCACGGTATTAACCTTCCACAGGGATGTCAGGGTTATCTGGTTAATGGATAATGATGATTATTCTATTGTTTACAATGGGTTCATGTCAGACTGTGACTGCTCACCAAAGCTGCAATGTGACCAAACCTCTTTGTCAAAACCTGAGCTCATCAGATTTCAGAAGCTAAACAAGGCCAGGTCTGTGTAGTACTTGGATGGACTGCTGGGAAAATCAGGTGCCACTGTGGTGCGCCAGTGTCCAAAAAAACTGTTGTTATGTCCTCAGGCAAGACATTTCACATTGTCTAGTAAGAAAGTGGAGAGTGTGTGGGATAGATTGGCAGCCTCACCTCAGTCTGTCCTAGGGCAGCTGTGGCTACAGTTTTATCTCACCACCACCAACTGTGAAGTGATTGAATACTGTACTGTAAAGTGGGTTTCATGAAAGGTGCAATATAAATCATTAGTCTAATAGCATAATTGCCCAAGTAATTTTTTGGCCAAATTGTGATATCTGCAGTTTACTCTCCTCCCACTGCTGCATCCCCCTGCCACCCATGTCCTCAGCCTGTCAGAATGCTTGTTAGAGTCTAAAATCACTGTCTGCTTTAGTCATTGCTGTTTAATATCAATAAAAAATACCAATGTGCTTGCTCAAAAATTAGTTTTTTTATTGTTTTCCAAAAACATTGAAATATAACTTAGGCAACTACGCTATTAGGCTAATGAAATGCAATGATTGACTCTTAACTTTTATGCCACCTGCTCCCATATTGGATCTGCTCACTAATGTAAACAAACACAGAAAGAAAGAAAATATCAAACAAATGACATACAATACAAACGGCATCATATAAAAGGAGGACAGATGCACTTAAAATCACAACTTTCATTTCATTTTAGTTCATTTTTAACAGTTTGCAGTGGTCCAGAGTTGTCCCTTCTTACCTTCTGCATTTAGAGCCTCCTAATTAATCACCATGACTGTAATAATAGCAAAAACTAGAATGCTAACAGCACACTTTCTGATTACCGAATAATAACATGCATGTTAAATTAGAGGCAGACAGTACACAGCTCACTTATTTTGACCTCAAGAGCTGCTTATATAATACATCTGTACTAGGGCAAGTCACATTTTGCTCAAATACGTTGAAAAATTGCAAATTTCAAAACCAAAAATAAGTCCTTTCAGTTAACACCGCGTGAGTTATGTGGTTCTCTGTTTGTTTGTTTTTGTTTATTTGTATTTATTTTACTTATTTATTGCTATTTTATTATTTTTATGTTTTCCTTTTATTTGTTTTTTTTACTGGTTTTAATGTTTTTAGGACTGGTATGGCCACATTTTAGCAGTTTACCTTTTGTTGTCTTAATTTTGTGATTTCTGCACAGTTTATTGGAAAATTGCTTTGTTTGTCAAATGTGTAAGGTACATTTTTAGGGAAAATTTGGATTTGGAGATTCAAAATGCAATGATTTAATAAAACAATCTGTAAACAACAAAATACATGCTTTAGGGAAATAGAAAATCCACGTTCTAAAATCGTCTACGTGGCTACATGACTAACTGGAACAAAACAGGCAAGCAAAGGCCTATGCACTATAAAACATTGTAAGCTACAGTGTTCTCGTCTCATGTGGCCAGACAGTTTTTATGTACAAACACGCCTGCTCGTAAACATTCTATTTAAAGAAGCTATAAAGTCTGCGCTCATCAACTCAAATCTACTTTAATCCAAGAAATAAATTAAAGTTGCATTGTAGGGGTGTAACAGTAACCAAAATATTGTGATATCGTATCGTCAAAAGTCTCTCAATAACATCGTGGACCATCACAATATATCGAATTACAAGTCTCTTTGCTTAAATTAAGAGTTATGATGGAGCAATAGCTAAAAAAAACAGATGGAACTACATTGACCATGATCCTTTGCTCCGTTTTGATGCAAACTACATGAAGAAATAACAGTTCTAAGCACTTTTAAGTCTTAGTTCTTAAAGGTTGTATGGAGGATTTTTTTTTTAGTTTCAAATTGTCAATGAAAGTGTAAAATACCATTAGAGAGATGCAGCAGCCTTGTAATTATGATGACCAAAAAAATAAAAATTTAAATCTATCAACTGTGGACGTAGTGAGACCAGATAAACTTCAGCGAATAGATAACAAGGCTACCTCATTTTCTATTGGCTGTTAGGTTGTCAATCAAACTCCCTACGTTTCTAGTGTAACTGACTCGCAGCGCGCGGGGATTACGTGGTTTATGCGGCAGTTCTTAGAGGCTTTTTCAAACTGTAGCTTTTTCAATTCACACAAAGTTTGTTGCGAAGGCGGATGAGAATCGACGACCAGTTCGCCCCAAAAGAAAATCAATTTTTGAGGTCGCTGAAAGAAGAAGAGACGGGGAAAAGGAGCAAAGCTAAACTGAGGTGATTCTTGGAGATTCCTTCCAGCGACTGAAGCAGAAGAAGGGTCTAAAAACTGATGCGTCGGTCGCTAAATTATTTCTAGACAGGTCACTTCAACAGTAATTCTGAACGCGCACTGGCTGTAAAAAAGCGTGATTTCTAGAGTAAGGAGGCGGGAGGAGGTGCTTCTACTGAGGGAGCTGTGGAGGAGGGAGGTGGTGTCACGCATGTGCAACTTTTGAAAAAGGACTGTCGCTGTATTTCTCTTCCCTTAAAAAATCCTCTATACAAACTTTACGTCTAGTCAAGGCATTTTAAGAGGAAAAAGTAGCATATTATCGTATATCGTACCATGAGATTTGGATATCGTTACATCCCTAGTGCATTGTGTAACTTTTCTGGTGGAGGGTTCATCAAATGCTTTTCTTCATGGAGGTGTTATTACTTTGTCTGGAATGTTTCACAGTACGGTATTAAACCTTTAACTTCATGGAGACCAAACCCGACCAAGTTAGAGGTCAGATCTGTGGTGTGGCGACCCCGCTCACAGTCAGAATGCCTGTTTTTCTAGGTATTTTTGAGCTATAAACCCACCTATAACTGAATAAATGTAAGGTGGAGATGTTTAAAGTCATACGGTGGAACATTCCAGGCAGAGCAATGACATATCCACAGAAACAAGCAGGTAATGGACCCCAAGTCAAAAAGTTACATACTGTACATGTCTGATAGGGATGTAACAGTAAGCGAAATATCGTGATATCGTATTGTCAAAGTTCTCACAATAATATCGTGGATCATCACAATATATCGAATTACAAGTCTCTTTGTTTAAATTAAGCGTTATGGTGCAGCAATAGATAAAAAAAAAAAAAAAGAACAGAGGAAACTTCATAGACCATGATCCTTTGCTCCATTTCAATGCAGACTACAAGAAGAAATAACACTTCTAAGCACTTTTAAGTCTTAGTTCTTTGGATTAAGTCTTGCCAAGTTACCGTTTTGTTAGTCTCCACAAAATATCGCAATAAATATCGTATTGTGAGATGTATATTGTGAAAATATCATACTGAGAGATTTGGATATTGTTACATCCCTAATCGTGAGCCTCCCCACCATATTGTGAGCTTTCCCACAATATCGCAATAAATATCATACTGTGAGGTTCATACCGTGATGATATCGTATCGTGAGACTTGGCATATCGTTACATCCCTAATGTCTGATGATAAAACTCATAATTTTGGAGTTAAAGAAATGTGTTTATTTTGTGTTGTGAATTTGACTTTTGGTTTTGTTTCAGAGGGGAATTTCTCTCTTTGATAAACACGTACAACTGGTTCCTGAAAGACCAGACGCAACTGCATCTCACCTACTGTCAGGTAAGGCCTTTCATTCCATGGGTATCAGAATGATGCAAGATTTGGGGCCGTTGCCATAGCGATTAGCAATAAAAAACCTAATATTATGTCATTTGATTGAGAAAAAGTTACACAATGTTGAATGAGTCATGAGTTGGAATGTTGTTATCTCATCAAAAACTTAACCTGAAGTCTTTTGTTTCATTCAAACATTTGAGGAATCATGTATTATTAGTCTGTCTACATCTCCAAAGCTCCAAATGTTCCACCTTGTGATGTCATGAAGAGGGAGTTTTTAAGTTAACAGCTCCTTTTACCTTTTGTTCAGTAGAGATTGACAATTCCAGGGCCGAAATTATCCAAATGATTTTAGTGAAGGTGTGTTCAGAAGTGGTCCGAATCAAATCCCAAGCTAAAGGCAAGTCCAAGTCGAGTCTCGAGTCACTGACCAGTAAGTCCAAGTCAAGTCCAAGTCGTCTGCTTTGAGCTTCAAGTCATTTCAAGTCTTTAAACCAAAGTACCAAATATAGCTTAGATTTTTACAATTTATATGACTAAACTGTACTTAAAAAGTCATGATATTTATATATGAGTATTTATAGAGTATATAAGAGTTGTAAAAAATAATTTAGTTAATTTTTCCTTTTTAAATGTCTTGACAAGATCTTAGTGTGAATCTTTATGGTCAGAATATAAAGAATTCAGATTTAAAAGTGCGTCTTAAGTCTTCTCAAGTCACAGGCCTCAAGTCTAAGTCGAGTCCAAGTCTTAGTCCATTTTATCAAGTCAAGTCTCAAGTCCTAAAAATAGTGACTCAAGTCTGACTCGAGTTCAAGTCAGGACTTGCAAGTCCCACCTCTGGGTGTGTGGAGTTTAAAAACACATTGGAGTACTTCCTGTATAGCCAACATGACATCACATGGTGGAATTGATTTTCTGTTTGAGAGAAGAACTCAGCCTAAATATGCAGGGTTTCTGTGAATGTGTGAATGGAAACACAACTCCAGGTCTGTTTTTGATGAGGAAAAAATATTATAACGCATCTAAAAATATGGGCCATATAAATGCTTTCAGTGAATCAAAACCGTACCTGGAGTATCGTATAGGTTTTATTCACGTTTACGTCGCAAACCAGGAAGACATTTGGATGAAAACTTCTGGTGTAGTTACCGACACTGGGCTCGCCGGTCGACTGTCCTAAAACCCAATGAAGTAAATGTGATCTTGGAACTACAACAGTGGTGATGTAAAATTTCTAAGCCTAGTTATTTATCCTAACAATTTCATATGACATTAAGATCGATTTGATTTTAAAACATTAAACACACATACTGTAATGCAAATAGATTTTTTTTGGCCTCTGTTTTGACTGACAGAACTGTGGCAATCTGCGCCAACAAACTCACTCACTCACATACCGGCCTTTGGAAAGAAGACTCTGTGTTTTATGGTGTGTGTGTTTGTGTGTGTGTACCAGGACAGTGATGGGGAGGTGATCGTGGAGGGCTTCTTGAACATCTCATGGGGAGTGACCAGACCCATCCGGCTGCAGATCCAGGACGACAAACAGACCCTCCCCCTGACTCCTCTGGTCCCACCGGAACCCAGCAGCCCTGTGAGCCCCGTGAGCCCCGTGAGCCCTCTGGGGAACAAGAGGTGACCATAATAATAATAATACCTAATACATAACACTTGTATAGCGCTTTTCATGATACTCAAAGATGCTTCACACAGTTCAAAACAGACAAAACACAGAGAAACAAATATAAAACTGGGTAAAGCACAACACAACATAGCAACATAACTAAATGAAGCCCAAGAGTGACTGTCCACTAGCCTGATTCATCAGCTGGTTTCACTTCGTAGAAACCGTCTGACCTCGCAGCATTAGGATTCATTCGCTCGACGGTAGGCGGGTACTTTTTTTATTTAACCAATCACTGCTGTTTGGTCGTGATGTATGTAATGCGCTGCTAACGGGACTAACTGGTATATTAAGCTTTTCCCAAATCCCGTCGGAAGAAGGGCAATAACGTCTTTCCCCTTCATTAAATTCAATGAACGCTCTCTTTGTTCAGGCTTTAAATCCTCGATCTCGGGAATCGTTGTCAACACAGAATGTCTGGCTCTTCACTGATTGGCAGGTGCCCAAACTCACACTTCCGGGGTTCTTGGAAACCGTCTGTTGTATTCCGAGTCCTGACCTAGTTCTGAAACCAAATTTCCCATAAATTTTTCTCATAGATTTCAAAAATAAAAAATAAAAAAATACCTGTAAAAGTCGCAAAGCTTGCTCTGAGACAATTAGCTACGTGTTAACTAATGACTTGAAGACCTACAATTTTATTTAAAATCTATAAAGTTGTAATCCACTGTTAAGTTCTTAAAACATTTTGCGGAATCTTGTGTTTTAAATGTGCTTTTTGGGCTTAAAACAACTGTGTTATGGATATTAGTTAGCACATAGCTGCTTAGCCTCTTAATACTTGAATATTTTGAAATGTCTATGGGAAAAATGTATGGAAATTTACTTTTGGAACAGGAAGGAGTGGTCACTGTTGAGCTCCTTAAATTAAGCAGAACTAAGAATTTGTGTTGTGGGGTGGGGTTTTGATTCCCACACGGACCAAGTTCTGTCATGTCTGGTATTAGTGTATTGATTTATTTTGTATGTTTGTATGAATGTTTGTATGTTTGTATGTATGTAGGTTTGTAGGTTTGTATTCTGACTTGTGTTTTTGTGATTGCAGAGGGATGATGCGATGGGGGGAGTATTCTGACCTGCACCAGATCGATGAGACCCAAGAAACTGTCTTCAGCAACGCTCCGCCACCACGTAAGATTGAAGATGTGTTAAAAACTTGTTAAAATGAGCACATTTTACCACCTACATGTTACCAAGTATGGGATTGAGTATGAGATTTTTTAAATGTGGGATTTCTTACACATTTCTTAAACACGTGTCTGCAATTATGAAATAGACGAGTTAAAATTAAGCATTGATTTAACTGTGCATGAAATTGTGTTTAAGTGTGTATGCAACCTACCAAGTCACAAGTAACTATTTTAGTGGAGCTTGAGATGATTGTATGAGGGCTGTTATAGGTCTAAAGCATAGACTGTATTAAATAAATGGACATAGCTAACCCGCTAGGCGTCATGATCCAAATAGGAAGTGAGCATGGGGGCACTTCCGGCTCCACCGACTCTCACTTTACATTGAAAAATTGTCAGCCCTCTGTCTGTAACTGCTGCACTGAGCCTCATCATTTTGGTCTTAAAACGTTCAAATCAACCTGTTCCACATGATCCTGCTGTCTTTATTTTGCTATTATTTAAATTATTTCCTGTTCCTAATATGAAACAAGGCTCCAAACTTGCTCCTATAACGTCTATCCTCGTGAGATTCAGTGTTTCCCGCAGAAAACTGGTTAGACAAGGCAGTGCTGGAGAAAGTGAGAAAGTAACTATAAAGCGCTGTGGGAAACACTGAGCTTCATTTGACTGGAGCCGAACTCTATGGGTGATGTCACAATCACTTAGTCCACTTCTTTATACAGTCTGTTGTCTAAAGACACTCCAGGTTATTAGTAGCAAACCGTTTGTCCAATCAGAAAGCAGAATGAGGACCTCACTTTACAGTTTCAAGTGCTTTACATTGGTTTTCTTAAAAATATAGTATTTGACAGCATAATATCACAATGGCATTCATATTCAGTTTGTGCACAGATCAGGAATGAATGAACTAAATGAATAATGACAAACTGTGACTTTGAAATCAACTTTTCTGAGCTTTTAACCATGTTTGAGTGTTTTTTTTTTCACCATTTACTCGGCCAAAGATGTATATGGAGTGATTTGTGCACTTTTGAGCAGTCACTTATTTTCAAGATGCCATTTCAGACGTCATCTGTGCACAAAAGGCCAAAAGCATTGGGATTCTTGTGCAGGGCTCTCGGGCATTCAAGTAAGAACATGTAAAAAGTGCATTTAAGAAAAAAAAAAAAAAGCATGCATTTTTCCAATCAATCCCCATTTTCACTTCCACCCATGTACTCTGGCATACACCCACTGCTCTGTACTCACTTTGTCCTCTAATTTTGTTTTCTTAATCTGTGATATGTGCAGGATACAGCAGTTTTGCGTGGTAATTTTGGCACAAATTTTAAAAATCTGCTGCTCTCTAATCCGATCTGTAGCTATTCGTCGAAGGAAGTTGAAATCGTCTTGCTATATTTTTTGCTGCTTATTTAGAATGTATTATTATACCATTTATATTTTTGCTTCTTGTTATTATATTATTTTGTAATTTGGGAGCTACTGTGTCAATATAATTTCCCTTGGGGATCAATAACGTTTGTCTAAGTCTAAGGTGCAATGTCAGCTCCCATTGGGCCCCACATGTTTCTACCACAGAAATCAGCGGCCTTGTTTCTTTTATTAAGTTGTTTTAGATTAGATATGGGCAAACTACAGCCTTTAATCTTTTTAATCTGGCCCGCTGAACTTAAATAATGATAATAATAATGATAATTTTCAGTGATTTAAAAGTCATTTCAACAAATAGTAAATACCGTGGGACTTGAAAGACAGATATTTTATTGTAATGCTCTGTAATTATTTTCAATTATGGGATATTTTAATAACATGGGATATGTTTTCTACATATCCCATGTTATGTTTTTGTCTTATGAGGTGGATTAACAAAAAACTCCATCCTTCTGCTCCTGGTCCAGCCCTTCCATCAAATTTTAGATCCCTTTTGTGGCCCATGAATCAGAAAGTTTGCCCACCCCTGTTTTAGACGAATATCGTGATTTAAAATGTCCATGTCTAACATAATGATCCACATGTGTCATATTATAGACACAAACACAATAGGTCTTCTTTAAAGGCGCATTGTGTAACTTTTCTAGTGGAGGGTCTGTCACCTGCTTGTTTCTATGGATAGGTCATTGTTCTGCCTGCAATGTTCCACAGTATGACATTAAACAGCTCTACCTTACATTTATTAAATTAGAAGTGGTTTATATAGCTCAAACAAACCTAGAAAAACAGGAATTCTGACTGTGAGCGTGGTCGCCTCTCAACAGACCTGACCTGTAACTTGGTCTGGTTTGGTCTCCATGAAGAGGGAAAGGGTTAATGCCATACTGTGAAAGATTCCAGACAAACTGTACAAGTCACTGCTTTACCTTTAAATGGGTCAGCATTTTATCGAGCATAAAATAGATTAAAAAATGACTTACTTGTTTACTAATTTTTTTATTCCTGTTTTCCTATTTTAAAGCCCCAGTCCCTTACGAAACGGCCACGCTCCGTCCAATCAGACACAAGCACACTGAGCTGGAGGCGGAGTCTAACCTGTTCCGCTGCAGGAGTGACGCGGCATTGGTGAAGATGAGAAGGAAGAAATCTGCTTCTCAGAGAGAGAAAGAACGTCAGCACCGCTTTTCTATCAACGGACACTTCTACAACTATAAGGTACTGCACCCATATGACCACTAGGGGTCTCCTAACAGTTAACTCTAAACATCAGTTTTTGTTAAAGGCCCATATTACTCTATTCTTTGATCTATGTTATAATGTTGTTTCCTCATCACAAACAGACCTGGAGATGGGTTTTGTTTCATTTAATTCTGCATATTTAGGCAGAAGAGTTCCCATTCCATCTTGTCATGTCATGTGGTAATACAGGAAGCGCTCCATCCAAATGGATGGATGGACATAAAAATACATAAAATAAATCTCATGTTATCTGCTTCTGTATATTTTCACGGCATTATAACAACATAAAACATACCTGGAATTATGTTTTGTTTCATTCACACATGTTTGAGTAACTCTTTATTATTAGCCTGTTTATATCTCCAAAACTTTAAATCCTCCTGTTTGACCTTGTGATGTCATGAAGTGGTAGTTTTCAAGTTAACAACTACCGTTTACCTTTAGTTCAGTAGGGGATTGGCAATTCCAGGGCTGAAATTATCCAGAATGTTTATAGTGAAGCTGTATGGAGTTTAAAACACAGTGGAGCACTTCCTGTACATGACATCACAAAGTGGAACACAGTGTTTTCTGTTTGAGAGAAGAACTTACACCTAACTTAACCTAAATATTACAACACAAAATAGTGTAATATGGGGCCTATATAGACAAAAAGGTGTGTGCCAGAGACTGAGAGTAACACTAAATACAGCCCTGTGCTTTTGCTTCTTTGTAGACCTCCATTTTCACCCCCACCCACGGCGCCTTCACTAAAGTCCGAATAAACAGCAGGATGTCCACACACCAGGTCATAGAACAGTTACTGCACAAGTTCAAGGTGAGCGCAAGTAAGAACAATAAGAACATTATTATTTTATTCAATTACTAAAACTAAAACACGTGTCATTTCCTCAGATACAGAATGACCCTGAAGAGTTTGCCCTGTACTGCGTTCACCAGAGTGGAGGTAATATTTTGAAATTGTTGATGGGAATTACACATGATGCTGCGTTAAAGTGCCTTGCGTTTTACTAAAACACAGTCAGGAATTACACTTAAACAAAAAAAACATTTACACTCCCAATTGGAGATTTTTAGGTGTGCATATGATTTTGATGCTTCTTTAATTTCTGCTTAATCTGATGCTATAATACAACAGGTAAATATAAATTATAGTTTTACACAAATCAAGAAGCAGTTTGTGAAGAAAAGTTGAAAAATATGTTGAAAATTACAGTGAGTAAGAACTATAAGGAAACAACTACATGAGATGATCCCGGACAGTTGTTCCAGTGTCATGGTGCAATAGCCTATTCAAAGAGATAGAAAGGACTAAGTGGGCGGGGCTACAGTTCACAAATATTGCTATGTTGCTCTTTTCAACCTTTTATATCGTCACCAAACAACACTGAACATTGTCTGCTAGTTTGCCTATAAGCTCCTCACACAATTGACTCTTGTGAGCTTTAAATCATGTTATATTGTTGCTATCTTCTCAAAAACAGACCTGGAGTTGTGTTTTGTTTCATTCACACATGTTTGAGAAATCCTTTATTATTAGTCTGTCCACATCTCCAAAGCTCAAAGCGCTCTTGCACATTGTGATGTCAACCTATTACTAGCCTGATTCATCAGCCGGTTTCACTTTGTGGAAACCGTCTGACCTCGCAGCATTAGGATTCGTTTGCTCGACGTAGGCAGGTACTTTTTTTTATTTAACCAATCGCTGCTATTTGGTCGTGATGTATGTAATGCGGCGCTAACGGGTATATTAAGCATTTCCCAAATCCTGTAGGAAGAAGGACACTAACGTTTTTACCCTTGATAAAATTCACCAAACATTCTCTTTGTTTTGACTTTAAATCCTCGATCTCGGGAATCATTGCCAACACAGAATGTCTAGCTTTGTCTACATCCATCTCGACCGCTTTGTTTACTGTTGTGCTGTACCATGAAATGATCCAGCCATAGCTTCACAGCTCTTCGCTGACTGGCCAGTGCGCAGTCTACAACTTCCAGGGTTCTTGCAAACCGTCTAGTGTATTCCAAGTCGCTGGAGTGAAATTAAATTCAGCAGAGGCACTAGGTGGCACCAGCCTGGCTAACCTTTTACTATTCAGTATAGAGAGTGGCAATTCTAGATCTGAAATAAAAGCAAGTGGAGCCCTTCCTGTATTACTGATAGACAGAGACATGCACATCTAATAAAAGTTGCGACTGCATGCTGGGTCCAAAGACAAAAATTGTGCAAAAGGAAAAAACAGATTTGCACTGCAGTTGTTTGGAGCACAATGTGACATTGTGGTGTGATTAAAATGAAAATGTATTACTACAAGATATCACAAAGCAGAACACAGTGTTTTCCATTTGAAAGAAGAACTCAGCCTAAATATTCAGGGTTTGTGTTTAAACATGTGTAAATGAAACAAAACACAACTCCAGGTCTGTTTGTGATGAAGAAACAAGATTATAACATAGATCAGAAAAGGGTGTGATATTGGCACTTTAAATGATGAAACATATCAATGAGTAATATACTGGCACATCTAATCAAGGTATTACAATAACTTGTGTATTGCAGAAAAGAGGAAGTTGTGTAACAGAGACCAGCCTCTGTGGGAGCGTATACTGCAGGGGCCCTCAGAAGACATCATGAAGGTCTTCCTCATGGACAGAGAAGAAGAGGAAGTCAGCAACGATGTAAGATTTTGGCATTATTTAATTTTTCAGTCAAATTCATTTTTGTACTGCATAAAGTCACAAAGTTAGTCACCATGCTATGCGTCAGTCCCTGCTCCAACCAGTTCATACTATCGTTGTGTCCTTGGACAAGACACTTCATGCACCTTGTTTATGTATGAATCTGTTGTGTCAGGTGATGCGTCAGATGAAGCAGACTAGTATCTACCCCAGGGCAGATGGAACTAATGAAATGTGGTTGCACGAAATTGTAAAATGACCTTGCATTATATGTTTTTCAGTCAGATTTCTATCAGCACAAAATTGACTGACATGAATACAGTTTGTCAAGCAAAGGATGTGCTCTGATTTTGTGATTATGTCACTGGTCTAGTTTTGATGTACTTTTGCCCTGTTGTTTTCAGGTGGCCCAGTATCTGAACCTGGAGCTGCCAATCCTGGAGCAGGTTCTTCTGAAGCTCAGAGAAGAGGAGACCAAAGAGATCCAGAGGGTCATCAGCAAGTCAGTATTACATGTACAAAGTATTCTAATGTGTAGCTCGCTGATAAAGAGGACCTACCCATCCACAAATGCACAAAGAGCTTCCCCCTGCATGTTTCACAAACAAATAGCCAGTATTTGCACTGAAACAGACTGAAGTACATCTGTCTGCATCACCATGTTTGTTTTGGGTGGTTCAGCACTTGCGTCCGCCCAACCCACAGTGCTGCAATGTGATTGGTCAGGACCTATCATATGCAAACAGAATAACATGGATTCTCAAGAGTTTGTAAACTCCCAAAAAACACTGGATTTTATCTAGCCCCTCTTTTCTCATAAATGTAAATGTAATATATATCCCATTTACAACTCCATCCTCAGACCTCAATCAAAACAAAGAAAACAACAGGGATAGCCAGGTCAGGTCCAGAGGTGTGAACGCACCCATCAGGAGCCTGAATGATTAGGCTAATAAGACCCCACACTCAGCTGAATAGACCTAGTTAACAAACAGAAACTGTAAACAAGTAGGGTGTTAGTTTCAGAGTAGTTTGAGTGTAGTTAGCTCCTCCCTTCTGGCAGGGTCGATCGGCGTGAAGAAGCAGTTTGGAATGAGCTGTGAAACATATTCAACCTAAATAAATGTTTGGTCAGTTGACAAATTGAATTTCTCCTTTGCTATAGATTCTACCTGGATGACTGAAGGATTTTACATAGATCATAACTGTACATGAAAAACTGGTTCTATAAAAACAAATAAATAAATACAAATACATAATCTGCTTAAATCACATCAATTTAAACATAACCAGAGAAGACCAGCTGTTTAAAAGAATACCTGTGTCATAGATTGATATCATTTTCATGGCCTTGTGAGTGAGCGCCCCAACTGAAAATAACATGTAGAATGTTGTAGTAACTCATGTAAACCAGGTGGTGGAGCCATTGTGTCGTGACAGTGTTTTGTGTTGTAGGTACCATCACCAGCACAGACTCCTGTCCCACGTCCTGAACACCAAACTGTCCCCTCACATCGAGACCAGCGTCTGACAGAAATGGAGTTCTACAGCATCGGAATAACAACAACAACAAAGACTTTATTAAGAAATGAAATGGACACAACAGAAAATAAACCATTTGCGTCAAAAGTGAGATCATTTTTAAAGACTTTTTTTTTTTTAACTCTGAGAGAAATTGAAAAAGCTATTAGGATGGCTACCAGCTTGTCCATGAGTAATCTATTACTTTGTCTGGAATATTCCACAGTATGGCATTACATTTATTCAGTTAGGTTTTTATTGATCAAAAATATGAAAAAAAAAACTTTACTGCAAGTGGGGTCGCCTTTTCACAGATCTGACCTGTAACTGAATTTAATGGCATCACCTACTTGTCCATCAGCATAGATAACTTTAATGCCATAATATGAAACATTCTATCTAAGCAAAGCATCAAGATCTCCATGGAGACAACCAAATAGCAGACCCTCCCTCAACCAGCAAGGTTACACAGTGTATCTTTAAAGGCGCACTGAGTAACTTTTGCTGGTAAAAATGTCATTGCTTTGCTTATAATGTCCCAATGTATGGCGTTATATCTCCATGGAAACAAGCATTCGCGAAGTTACGGGTCAGCTCAGTGGAATGGCACTTAGAGTTAGACCCCGTTTACACTAAAACGAATCAGCGTATCACCGTATCAGCAACAATCTGCGTCCAGACACGTTGTTTCTGTATCTGCAATCGAAGAGTTCCTTGTCCACACAGTAACACAAAACCGCTTGAAACGTTAGTTCACGTGATAGGCTGGCGTCACGTCGTCATGATGTCCCGACGTCACGTGAGCGGTAAAAACAAGGAAGTCTGAAGTCGCAGCAGCTGATTTTGAGTCGAGGGAGATGGCAAGTGTACTGACGACGAGGTTCAGTTGTTACTCAGCGTAACACTGGATTTCGTTTGTCTGTCCGCAAGCCTTCCCTATCCATACAGATTTGAACATATTTGTTTATATTTTACATAAATGAAACTTAAAACCTCATGGCTAATTTGCATAAACTATGCGCTCAAAAAACAGCTCGCTATTGTGCGATGATGCGGTTCAGCTTCTGTCGGATTAATGGACACAACTCAATGAATTATATGTGTTCTTTCTGTGACAGAGGAGTGTTCTGCTGATGGTGAGTTTGTTCTGTTCTTCTATTGCGTTGGAGATAGTTCATGTTAAACTTTTCAGAGATTATACGGTCTATGCTACATCAATGTTTCAATGTATCAGCGTTTTCAGGCGTCCACACGGTGCCAGATCAGATCCATACTCAGATGAATTCATGGGAGCTGACGACACCAGATCGTTTCGTCTCTGGAGCCATTTTCAGTCGGATTAGTGTGGATGAACACTGCATCCACAACAAAAACGAGTGTGGACGGGGCCTTGTTTTTGTTTACATGTTTTTGAGCAATAAAATCACCTTTTTGAAATAAATGTGAGAAAAAAAACATTTAATACAGTACTGTGCAACATTCCCGACAAAGCAATTACATCTCCATGGAGACAAGCCAGTAGAATACCCTCTTACCCGTAAAGTTACACGGTGCACCTTTTACGAGCCAATTTAGTTTTGTCTTTTTTGTAAGTATTTGTACATTTTAATGAGGTGTTATTAAAGCCTTTATTTAAATGTGGTGTGAATAATTTTCTCGGAGCGGAGTGAGCGGGTATTGAAAGGTTGGAAAAAGCAGTTAGTTGGAAAAATGTGCGGTTTTAAAATGAGTTTGGGCAGAGGAGGCACATGTTTCTATGGAAAAGACATGTTCCCATTAGACCTGCCACAACCATGATGACGGCCAATGAGCGCCAAGACTTTCCTCAACACACAGGATGATAAGTTACGAATAAAAACAAAGTGTAAATTTTTCAGGTCTGACGCAGGACTATATCCAAATATCTTTCAAGTGTTCATTGGTAACATTTAACCATCACCATTTTGCCTTTTATTGTTTTGAATATACTTTATTAGCCGAAAACAACTTGATAAGTACCAGTTTTGTTTTCGATATAGGAGAGATCACTAGATTACTCAAACATGTATGGGTGACATCTAAATCCTCCTCAAGTGTTTTTTTTTTTGGTGAGGGAACAATGTTATAACATGGTAGAAAGCACCAAAAAGTCAAAATGAAGTGTAATTATTTTTCAAGTTTATATATATTTTAGTATCAGGAAGTGCACGGTTAGCATGCTGGTTGTTTGCGTTGCCCCGACGGAAAACTCGGCTCTGGCCTCTGAAGGAACACATAAGGTAAGTGAGGACTGACGATGTGTTTTTAAACTTCGTTTGCCTCCACTTGAATCATTTCGATGATTTCCATGCCACTCCATGACATCACAAGGTGGAACAGCATTTCTTAATTTTGGAGATGTAGACAGACAATGCAGGGTTACTCAAACATGTGTGAATGAAACAAAACACAACTCCAGGTCTGTTTTTGATGATGATGAACAATTTGATAACATTTAAAATATGTAATAAGAAAGGTTCCTTTAAATAAAAATATAGAAGACCTATATTTTATTTTAAGGAACTTTTCGCCCTGAGCAAGCTTTCAAACTTTGAATACAATTATTTTCTGAAAGTCTATGGGGAAAAAGGACCACTGCAATCAGTTTAAAATGCAAAAAGACTATAGTACCTTTAAGTATTATTCTCTCTGTTTCTCTGAGTAAATAATCTGCTAGAGTTAAATTCTGGAAAACACTAGAGTGTCATCAGTTTACTCTATACGTGTAAATTTGACACTGAATATTTTTACTCTGAAGCTAGAGTAAATCTAACTCTGTACAGGTAAGGACCATAAGCACTCGGAAATAATGTAAAATTTTACAGAAAGAACAAAAAATGTGGCTATTTGCTGCAGGTGTTCCAATCAGTGGGAGCAGGTAGAAGGTGCTCTTGACACTCCAAAGAAGTAAAAACTGCACAAGGAAAAATATAGTTAAAAGCCCTTTATTTAAATGGCCAAAGGTAACATGTTTCACCCATCCTGGTCTTCATCAGGGCTTAGCTGACTAAGTGCCTGGAGTCCGTTGTGTTTTAATGTAAAATTTAGCTCTTTAAGTGTTAATTTGACCCTTGAAAATGTCCTGTGTAGTTTTCTTTTTCACATTTTGAAGGTACAACACCTTGAATGAGAGTGTTATTATTGGGTTTACTGCATGTTACTGTTACCATGACAATAAAGTCATTCGCACACTAGCCTTTGCACATAATATTCAAAAAATATGATGCTTTTTTATTCATCTTTGTTTCATCAGCGATGCAAATAAAGACCAGTTTATATAATTAATTTAAAACAACAAAATTCTTGGAAAAAAGTGATTTATTGAGGAAAAAAGAACACTGCATCAAACACTGTATCAAAAGTGAGAAGGCTTAAACACAACACACGGAGGTCTGAAGTACTGAAAGAACACTGGAGGTCAGGCTTTGGGCTTGCTGAGCTTCTTACAATTGCGGTTCTCAGCTCGTGCTTGTTGTTCCGGGGGTTAAAGGCCACCACAAACTGACAGCCCACACGCTAAAGACAGGAGAGGAAAAACATGGAGTTGGAACCAGGGTGCTTCTTGAGCCATTTCATGATATTCTACAATCAAACTCTGATGCATGTTAACATAATAAAGATGCATTGTGATTTTGGTTGGGAGGTCCGCCACCTGATTGTTTATGTGTCATTGTCCTGCCTGGAATGTTCCACAGTATGACATTAAACACCTCTACCTCACATATATTCAATTACAGGTGGTTTTATAGCTTAAAATTTTAAATGTTTAATGCCATACTGTGAAACATTTCAGACAAAGCTGTAAAGACCACTTAGGTCCTCACCTATTTCTATTCATTCAGCTGGGGTGAAAGGCTTGTTTGTTAATAATATTCTGTTGTGTCTGGTCCTTTTCCAGTTAAGTGTCACTATTATTTAGACCATGTCGGACTGTTTGTTGCGCCCTCTCCGGACGCACGGGGATTTAGGGGGAGAGGGACGCGCGCGCGGACACGCGCAGAGGGTGTCAAGTCACACGCCAACTTGGACACATGCCAGGAGCTGTCAGGAGCTCACGCTATCGGAATATTATCGCTGACTGTCTTGTGGACGTTTTCCAATCGTGCGAGAATCTTATTTCGCCACGGGAGCTGCTGGACTGTGCTCAGTACCGGAGCGCGGGTGGCGTGAGTAACATCGCAAACACTACAGGCTCACGTCACGCTGCCGCGCAGCAGGGGGAAAGACTTTGGGAACTTTTGGGGGGGAAGTTGCTCGGGTCGGTTATGGTGAAGGGTGGTGGGCTTATAACGAACTGATTTAGTTGTTTTGTTGCACTGTGCTTTGGGGATTTGGGTTTTGTGTTTGGGTTTTGGGGATTAGGTGCGCTCGAGCGCGTTGTGGTGGTTAAGGGTATTTGTTAATGTGGCCATTCTCGTATGTGTCTGGCAAAGCCAATAAAAGCCGGATAGGCCCAAAGCACTATATTTTTTGGCGTGTCTTTGTTTCACCCCGCTGACATGAATGGATCCTTCCCGCGTCCTAAATTTTGCGTTGTAGCTTTTCGTTTGTCGAGAACAGGTGAATTGTTACAAAGCAATGACATCTCCATGGAGAAAAGCATTTGATGGACCCTCCACTAGAAAAGTTACACAGTGCACCTTTAAAATAGATATAATAGAAGTAATGTTTGTATAATTATCTGAATAACTTGGAGTAACTGTTTTTGCAAATATGGAGCGCCACAGTTCTGGCCACTGAAAATAGTAAATAAAAGTACATTTTCCATTCATTTTTCCCATTGACTTAAAAATTTAAAAAAATGCAAATATTTAGAGTTCAAAGGCATCACAGAGGCTAATCAGCTATGTGTTAACTGATATCCAAAACCATTTTAAATCCAAAAGGCAAGACAATCCAAAGGCAAGGGTTAAGATTCAGCAAAATGCTTGAATGACTTTTATATCACTCCAGAAATGGATTTTAAAGGGCCTCTATTACGCTATTTTCTGATCTATTTTATGTTTCCTTATAAATATACTGTTGACACATCTTTAACAAAAAAATCCTGCATATTTAGTTCTTCTCTCGAATAGAAAGCACTCTGTTCCACCTTGTGATGTCATGTGGTAATACAAGAAGCGCTCCACTGTGGTTTTAAAATCGATACATCTTCACTAGAATAATTTGAATGATTTCAGCCCTGCCACTATATGACATCACAAGCATTTTGAGCTTTGGAGATGAAGACAGACTAATAATGCAGGGTTACTTCAGTGAGGCTGACGCCACCTAGTGCCTCCGCTCAATTTCATTTCTCTCCAGCGACTAGGTCAGGAATCAGAATACACTAGACGGTTTGCAAGAATACCGCAAGTTGTAGACCATGCACCGGCCAATCAGCGAAGAGCTGTGAAGCCATGATGTCAAACTCAAGCATCTGTCTGGGTCTCTTTTGTGGTACAGCACAACAGTAAACAAAGTGGTTGAGATGGATGTAGACGAAAACATACATTCTGTGTTGGCAACGATTCCCGAGATCAAGAATTTAAAGCCAGAACAAATTTTATCAAGAGGAAAGACGTTATTGCCTCTTCTTCCTACGGGATTTGGCACTTTACATACATCACAACCAAATAGCAGCGATTGGTTAAATAAAAAGTACCCGCCTACCATTGAGCGAACAAATCCTAATGTTGCGAGGTCAGACGGTTTCCACGAAGTGAAACCAGCTCATGAATCAGGCTAGTGTTCCTCAACATGTGTGAATGAAACACAACATAACTCCAACACAACTGCAGGTCTGTTTCTGATGAGGTTTTAGCTGATTAGCCCTTCAGAAAACTTTTAAACATTTCGTTTTTAAAGTCTATGGGAAAAATGAATGGGAAAGTGGCTGATCAAAGTTGAGCCCTAAACACTTTTGAATACGCTATGAATTAAAATATGAATAATATGAAATAATTATGCTTTTTGGGGGGGTCCACCTGCATCTCTCCACAGATTTGTTATTACATAGCATAATCTTCAACCAGACTATTTACTATCAGATCTGTGGAAAGGCAAGTCCGGTCACAGTAAGAATGTATAGATAGATTATACAGATTATTTTACCTTTTTCTCCAGCTCGCAGTGCTCTAGATCGTGATTTTCTGCTTTCAGACACTTGGTTTTTCCCAACACGACGTCAATCTTGTAGTTGATCATATTAGTCACCTGAAAACAGAGAAAAAAGACAAAAAATATATTATATTATGTTGGAAACTTAGTTAAAGGTGCATTGTGTAACTTTTCTGGTGGAGGGTCCGTCAAATGCTAAACACATCATCACAGTGTGTTTTGCTACTAAAGCACAGGTCAATTTGGAGCATTCTGGTTAAAAAAATAAAAAAAAAATTTAAAAAGTGAAAAAGTGAACTGTGCTGCCCCTAGTGGCCAATGCAATTTCAAGTAGTACATGACATCACACAGGACTGTCCTGAATACAGCCAAGTGTTTCTGACAACAAACACACTTAGCTGTAGGAGCGAGGTTGATACCTGTTAGACCAATCAAATCCGTGTATCATTGGTTCATTTGTTTTTCAAAATAAAACCAAAAATAAGAAAATGAAACAACTCTTTTCCTCATTATTTGTCTCCAAAACCAAAATGAAAAAAATGGATAACGATTATTTTTTTCAGTTTTTGATTTTGTGTTTAAACTAATAATGTAAAAAACAGATAACGACCATTTCCCTTTTCTGTGACTTAAACTGCAATGTCGGACTGAACCAGGACTGAACCGGGACTAAAACTGGACTAAACCAGGACTGAGTGTTGGGATGGGCCCAGAGATGCGCCCGCGTAGACTGTCGGGTGATCAGGACTGAGACCGGGACCAGACCAGGACCTGAAGAGACCAGGACTGAGACTGGGACCAGAACTGAGACCAGGACTGAGACCAGGAGCAGATCAGAACCAGACGAGGACTGAGATCAGGACTGAGACTGGGAGAAGACCAGAACCAGATCAGGACTGAGGCTGGGACTGAGACTGGGATTGAGACCAGGATTGAGATTGGGACCAGAACAGGACCAAAATGAGACCGGGACTGAGACTGGGAGCAGGCCAGAACCAGACCAGGACTGAGACCGGGACTGAGATCGGGAAGAGACTGGGACCAGACCAGAACGGAGACCGGGACCGGAACTGAGACCAGGACTGAGACCGGGAGCAGACCAGAACCAGACCAAGACTGAGACCGGGACTGAGACTGAGACTGGGACTGAGATCGGGAAGAGACTGGGACCAGACCAGAACTGAGACCGGGACTGGAACTGAGACCAGGACTGAGACCGGGATTGAGACCGGAAGCAGACCAGAACCAGACCAGGACTGAGACCAGGACTGATCTCGGAATCATTATCAATTACCTGTTTTTTTCATTTTGGTTTTGGAGACAAATAATGAAGAACATAGGTGTTTTTTCGTTTTCTTATTTTTGGATTTATTTTGAAAAACGAATGAATGAATGATACACAGATTCAGTTATACTGTTTCACAGATATGAGCTAGTAGCACGGCTATTAGCAACACGATATTAAAATGTTGGGAAAAAATCTGTAAGGAAGATATAAGTAACATAGAGTGTTCATTTTGAAATGTAATATGCTTGTGTATTGTACCTGGCTCTGAGCAGTGGAGATGGAGTCCAGTCTGAACAGCCTCTTGCCTTTGGAGTTGGAGTTGAACATTTTGACAGCATAATCTGTGGCCTTCTGCACCTCTTCTGAGTCTAGACTCCTGTCAAACCATCCTCCAAGCAACTGCATCTTCCCTGGTACAACACAGGCACGAAATCAGGTTTGAGGACAAGGTTCAAATGGTTACCAAATGAAGATGTATGGTAAAACAATTCTTGTAGTTTTACAGCAACATTAAGTCTTGGTCTCTTTGCAGTGGAAGTTGTTTCTTGGCAAACAGCTGGTGCCTCTCGCTGTGGTGTTGACTTTTTAAATTCATAACCGAGGTTGAGTGAGGGATCAGGATTTTGCTCTGATGGCGCTCCACATACAAAATATTCGCTGCAAACTCTGGATTATTTAGGCAGCCAAAGGTTGCCTTTTTCATCCTTCCCGTGGATCAATAGAGCCCATCGCCTTTGCCTTTCGTTATTTTTCAATTCTGTTGGGAAGGGAAATATTTGAACAGAGGTTTGCATTCACACAAATCTGATTCCCTTTTGCATTTATGGAGTTCGCAAGCAAATTTCTGGAGCAGTTTTCTGGTGTTAGGACGTCCAACAACCACACAATTACGATGTCCGAAACCCAAAACTAGAATATGGTTCTGATCAGAACCAGAAACAAAAGTGATATGGTTCAAAAGACCAGAAAAAATTGGCTTTGTCAATAGACGCATCCCACTGGGAAATCAAACACGGTGGTTTGATGCTCATTTTTTCGGAAAACCCTTCCCAGTATGCATTGCGCAATGACCGGATGTCCGAGATTCTTGATGCATCTATAGAAATGTGATAGAATAGGGCTTATCTAACAGTATCAAAAAGTCCAGAGTTTACCAAAAATACCAAATCCATTTTTGTTTTTAAGGTAACAAAAATATGGGGTGACAGTGGCTCAGTGGTTAGAGTGGTGGCCCCCAATCCAAAGCCTGGAGAACAAATTCCTACTTGGTTGTGTCATTGTTTTCTTAGGCAGGACACTTCACCCACCTTGCCTAGTATGAAATAGTGAGGGTGACTGGTGGTGGTGAGTTGCTGATGGCGTAGACTGACAGCCTCATAACTGTGGATACATTGCCACTGAGTGTGTACTGAGTGAATGAACAGTGAATACAATGTCATGCTTTGAGAGGCTTTGAAAAACCTGTAAAGCACATACGTACATACGGGTGTTTGTGAAAGGCACTGCTATTATTATCTCTGTTACGTGTGCTGCTAGTCAGTCAGTTAGATTATATGGATCTGGCAGCTCAGTGCATCTGCTCATCCTGCATTGGCTTGAGAACCGAAACACAAAAATTAGGCAGGAAAAATGTTTACCGTATTTTTTCCGCAGTATTAGGCACTCTGGATTATAAGGCGCACTGTCATAGAATGGTCTATTTTCGAACTTTTTTCACAAATAAACCACACTGGATTATAAGGCGCATTAAACGAAACACAACAGTTGGATGGGTCAGTTAGACTTTGTTTGTCGCGTTCACGGTTCATGGAATAACGAGAACCGCTTAATACCTCACGACCAGCTCCCGATCGGCAAACGTAGGTCGCAAGAATATCAAACCTGTTTGAAATCCAGTTGCCTCTTGTGAGGGTTTCGAAGTAGTTCCACAAGCTGTGAACTTTTAAACCTTTCTACTTGGTCGTACAGTTTGAGCTGAGTGACATGATTGAAAATATCACACAGTGTACGCCAGGCTTTAAACCAGATTTAGCCACAGCCTCAGTGGTCCCCGGGGAGGTTTAACGGCCACATTTCAATCCAAATATCTATCCATGTAAAACTTCTCTACAAGGACAGTTACTTTCTCCTTGTTTACCCCATAATTCCTTGTGAACTGGAATGTTCCAGTGAAACCAACGCACAGCCTCCTCCCAGAGCCAAGCCTGTCATCCATGAGTAAGTGCAGGTCTGGCCTCACAAAGCAACCCCGTGTCAGAGATAGGGACAGGGCAGTTTAACAGCCAGTTTATGATGGAGAAGATGGAAAATTAGTCATACTTTAGTTCGGTGCCAGATATGACATCAGTAGGCCTTAATTATGGGACTAATAAAGCATCTGCTGAGCTGTTTACAACAATCTACACATGGCATCTGTCTATAATCATGTAATTACAATGTGAAGGGAAAAAATAGAAATATCATATGTTTATCTATTATAAGAGGGTCTATTTTATTTCTATGGGGTATCAGTTGCGAACATAGAACATATTTAGATCACCGCCAATATTTGTTTTGTTTTTGCCCCCTCTCCCCTTGCTCTCTGCGCTAAGTCATTCACCCTTCAGAGCGCTCTCACAACAAAATCAACGTGCATCGCATTAATGAATTGACTGAACATCATGTCAGGATTGTGAAGTTGTAGTGTGTTGTTTTTTGCATGTTTATGGAGAACAGTCATGTGGGAGCATGGGTGACGTGCTTGTGGGCTGACTATTGAACAAAATTGTACTCCTGACTATAAGGAGGGTGCAAGTAGTCCCCAAGAAACATGCATGGATGACATCTAAAACCTCTTCAGGCGTGTTTTTGAGGAGGAAACTACGTTAGAACATGGTAGAAAACTCTGAGTACTGTACTCTTAATATATTTTTCTTCATTCATAATACAGCTCTACATAAATCAACATGCAGGTTATAATTTTAAGTGTTGGCAAGCTATGAAAGCTAAAACTATTTGTGGTAATCATCATTATGATTACAGATCAAACCAGATCAACTGCTTCAATCTTAAAGAAGATTAACTGCTCTGCAAAACTCCTTTGAATGAGTATTTAATCTCAAACAGCACATGCTAAATACATGCTGAAAGAAATATCTGAATTAGTCTTGTGGGTCCAATATATTTTGCATAATGGTAGCCCATAAGTCATGATTCACTCTTTGGCTTTGAAATTTAACTTTTTACAGTGGAAAAGTTACATCATAAAGTTGAAACAACTAAAAGAAATTATGTCTGAATTTCTGAGGCTTCAAAATGTCACTGTTGTTGGTTTCGTGAAGAGACTTGAAATGATGTGCAGCTCTCTAGTCGTGAAATGTTGCCTGGGATCCAGAATACACACTTCTCCAATACTTTACAAAGATGTGAGTCTGGTTTGAGATGGGACAGACAGATTAGTAGGGACTTGCATGGTCTCTCCATATCAAAACAAATATGGCTGCTTGCAAGGAGAAAAAAAAGGGAAGGGTATCACATGGGAATGAAAAACAGTGTGGATTTCTGAAGAATCAATGAGCGAATGTATCTGAAGTGAGATATGTTTGATTTGGTTCAAAATGTCGAGTGACCAATGAGCTCTTTTGTTTGTTTCTAGGTCAAGACGTGATGAATGGAGTGGTGCCCAGCCTGATAACACTCTGAGATATTATTGTGGATTTGCCAAGGAAGTGGCAGATACATGCTGAAAAATACATCTGAATTAGTCACACGAGTCATGTATATTTTGCATAAAGGTAGCCCATAACTCCTTTTTGCAGTGACTCCTTGGCTTTGAAATTTGTGAAACAACTAAAAATTAATCCATTCAGATTACTGAGAATTTAAATGTCACAGTTGATCTGCAGCACTCTTTTAGCAAAATGTAGCCTGGGATCCAGAATACACACTTCATCAGTACTAATACCAGTCTGGTGAATCTCTCAGATTTCACATGAGTGTGATTGACTTTGCAGATTTCTTCAGAATCAAGAGTGAAGCACTAAACCTTGTTGATTTGAAGTTGAAGTGACTAACATAGATTCTATTTGGCTCACATGATGGAAGGTGTGGTTACCAGATAATACAGAGAGAGATCATTCTGGATATGGAGAGTGGTACATACATGCTGAGAGAAAGTTAATCTTGTGGGTCCAGTATATTTTACATCGGCTCCTTGGTTTTGACATTTTAAGGAAAAGTTACAATTCAAAATGTGAAAGTTGTCAACAATCTTTTAGTAAAATGCTGCCTGGGATCCAGAATACACACTTCTTTAATACTTTACGAAGATATGAGTATGGTCAGTGTTGTTCAGATGGGCGTGATTGACAGGTGGATTAGCCAGTCAGGAACGCGCATGGTCCATCGGTATCAAAACAAATATGGCTGCTTACGAGGGAAAAAGAAAGGAAACGATATCACTGAAAAACATCTCAGATTTCTAAAGAATCAATGATGAGTGACCGAAGCACTTAAGTTCATTTTGTTTTTAAATGAGGTACGAGCAGAAAGATCTTTAGTTTTAAATGCTTCACTGAAACAAAAACAAAAACAAAATCTGACTAGGCGATCATGTTTGGGTTTGACTTGAGAGGGCATGAGGACTAGACTGTTATCCATCTGTATTAAAAAAATACACAGAGATATGCTTTATCAGTACCAAGTATATGTACAAATCTAGCACGTCCGATATAGTTTGCATCATGGTGACCTCTTACTCATTTTGCAACAACCCCTTGGCTTTGAAATTTCACATGTTACAGTGGAAAGTAAAGTTATGTCATAAATGTGAAACAACTAATAGAAGTAATGACTCCAAAATGTCACCGTTGTCAGTTTGGTGAAGAGGCTAGAAATGATGTACAGCTCTGTTTTAGTAGAATGCTTACTTCAGGCCAAAATAAAATACTAAAATGCCTAAAAAAAAAAAAAACAAAATGTTCAAGTCTTTCCTTGTTCACGCATATGGTCTGGTCAGTGGTATTTTGGTTAATTTTGTATTGTGCCGTATCATATTGTGATTAGTATCATACTCAATGATCTTTCAATACTGAATAATGATAAAAGAAAAAAAATTAAGAAAAAAAACACCTAAAATGTGGTTAAAAACTATAGCATCAAGAATGAGTCTAATAATGTGTGTCATTTCCTTTATTACCATCTGTTCTTTCAGTGTATTTATTTCTATTGGGACAGTGCATGTTAATGGAGTGAAATTACATAACAAGCATCTAAGCACATCGGATTAGAGCTAAAGGCCAAAGGGCTGGGGTCACATAAAGGCCAAACAATAAAGCAAATACATTTCATATACAAGAAGACAAATTCACAGTATTGCACACTCTTCTCATTGTGCACTCAATGTGATCGACTCCAGCCAAATGAAGCCAAT